CAAGGCGATGAACTGTCGGGACCCGATCACTGAGGAGTTCATTCTCTAGACTTGCCACAACAACCTCGCGCTGGACGTGTTGGAAGCAATGAGGACAGCACCGTCTAAGACATGGAAGGATCTGAAGGTCCGAGGAGAGCAAGCCGAGCGATTCCTAAGAAGGAAGAAGGCGGAGAGAGGCCAACAGGCGACGAATGCTCCACAACAGAATTTCGTCCCACGGGGGAAAGGTAAGGCACATGCTAATGCAGTTGATGCTAATCAAACCTTTCAATTGCAACCACAGCAACAGCAGCCACAGCAACAAGCACCCCAACAATCTCGAGGACAATGGCAACAACGGCCTCAGAAGCAGAAATCTGCGGAGCCGAGGTTTCCTAAAGTGTACTCCTTCAAGGATGATGAAGTTCCCGGCATCTTCAAATACCTGTTGGAGAACAACAAGATCCAGTTGCCGGCGATCGTGGATCAAGAAGGGGCCAGCAAAGTGACGGATCCAAAGTACTGCGCGTACCACAGAGCGGTCCACCACCCTACGAGATCATGCTACCACCTCAAGGACAAGATCCAGGCGTTAATCGACGTAGGGGTCATAACCCCGAAACCAGCCAAGAATGTGGGGGCCAACGCAGTGTCAATCAGTTTTGGGTCGGTGCCTACAACTTGGTTCGAGCCAAAACGCGTCACCAAAGTCGGGGTAAAGACGGTGAATGACGACCCGCATGGACAGCGCCAAAAAGGGCTTGTGCTACATACAGCCCCAAACGGCGAAATCCTCTGGGTTCACCCCGACCTGATTGAAGATGAACAATGGGCCGGGTCGTCATCCAAGAAGAAGTCCAAAGGGAAAGGAAAGTCTTGCTGCGGAGTCTCTGCTATCCCAGGAGAAGATGACGAAAGAATCATAGCTTTCCCGCTCTCTGAAGAAGAACAAGAAGTTTTTGCGACCCGAAGCGGAAATGAGTATCACTACAACTATCCACCACCTAGTGAGCAGGGGGTGAATAAACGGGGACCAGCCAAAACTCTCACGGAGATGGGGGTGATTACAAGTCCTACACCGGGCGAAGAGGCTCGACGACAGCCGGTGAATAAGCCGAAAGAGAAGAATCCCCAGGAGGTGCAGAATCCGAAGCAGTCTCGTTTCAGTCGCCCGATTGGAAAAGACAAACCGGAAAGCTCGAAGACTCCTCAAGTCTTCGATATAATGGCTCAACTAGCCAATATTCCAGCACGGATAACGCTGTATGAGTTGCTGCGGTTGTCCAAGGAAACCAGGGAGGCCTTGCAAGAAGCTTTGGCCAATTCAGAGGTGTTTCTGACTCAAGTCAAGCCGGTGCCTGAACAGCCAGAACCGCTGGGTCAACAGTGCAACATAGCGACTAAAAACCTTCCCTGCATTACCTTCACCAAAGAGGACATGCAAACGAAGAATTCGAACCACGATCGACCGCTATACTTCATTGGGTACATCGGCTCCAGCAAAGTCAACCGAATCCAAGTGGATCCGGGTTCTGCTGTGAGTATTATGCCGCTCCGCTTGATGCACTTCCTTAGCATTCCAGTTAGCAAGTTGGCATCCACGGGCACTGTTATCTACGGGTTCAATACCAGCGGGTCAAGACCTTTAGGTAAAATCCGGATAAAGTGTCAAATGGGAGATTTGAAGACAGAAGTCACATGTTATGTGATTGATGCTGAGACGTCGTATAACTTACTATTGGGTCGGCCTTGGATCCATAGTAATGTTATAATTCCCTCAACTCTCCATCAGTGTTTGAAATATGTCGACACTGATAATAGGGTTAAAACGATGGTTCGAGATGCAATCGAACACGCACGAGAATGCCACGCTTGTCAGATACATGTGAATTATATGCATCAACCTCCAGAGCAGTTACACACGTCAACCACGTCATGGCCGTTCGAGACATGGGGTATGGACATTGTCGGTCCTATTTTTCCCCCTTCAGTCAAAGGCGATCGATTCATCCTAGCAATTACAGATTATTTCTCAAAATGGGCTGAAGCAATTCCGCTCAGAGAAGTGAAGACGAACAACGTCATCAATTTCATCAAACATCACGTCATATACTGACATGGCGTGCCAAGACGCATCATTCACGACAACAGTCCACAGTTCATAAGCAACGCCTTCATCAGATTTTGTGACAAGTTCAAGATCGAAGATGTCTCGTCGACAGCTTATTATCCCGCCGCAAACGGACTAGCTGAGGCTTTCAACAAGACGATCATTAAAATCCTGTCAAAGCTCGTGAAGACCAATAAACGAGACTGGGACGATAAACTCGGTGAAGCAC